CAGCGCACACAGTCGAACTTGGTCATACATAACACGTTTTTGCACTTCTTGGCGGCCTTATTAAAAGCATTCTTCAGAGTCCGAGTACTTGGAGCTTCGTGTAGTCGAGCGTCTGCCCAAGCTTGGTATGCGGACTGATTTGTGCTTTAGCGCGGCTACAAGTGTGTACAAGTGTGGGCTGGAAAGTGCAGAGCAAATCTCCGCTACAATACAATCAAATCTACATAGAGATCGAAACATTCAAAACAAAAGGGCCGGCGACGAGCGAACCTGCTACAATCTGCAACCTGCACGTAACACACACGCGAGACCACAAAACCCGATGAGTGACACCCAAATCTTTTCTTTTAACCAACTGCAGGAAAGACAGCATCAATGGTTACTAGCTAATTCTCCGACGCTTTCGTAAATCCACTACTTTTTTATCAGAGACGCCCGCGCCGTTCAAATGCGTCAAATGGCAATTTCTATAAATTAAGTTATTTGCTACCCCATACATTTCGGAACCAGTGCGTTGTAGTCACACGCCAACCATTTGGAAAATTAAACGAGACTGTCTAGGTAATAAAAAAGGAAATTATAGCTGACCTGACCCCTTAGATCGGTTTTTCATGCAAACTGTCAAAATAACGAAAATAACCATATTTCTCTCAGAGAAATAAAGCTAGACGTCTAAAACATCCAATAAAAAATCTTCAAAAACAAAACACATAAATATAAAGAAATAAATATTCCATCTCAATATTCACGCCGGGTAAACCCAAATTCCAACAGTAACACAACACAAGTGATGCAATTTACCCTAAAGGTCCATTAACGAATTTCGAAACCCGAACATCTGCAAACAATTTTCCAAATACAACAAAAGAATCGACAATCAACTAAACGACCCACTCTCACTCAATCTGAACTAAGACAAAATACCAAAACTGGCTATAGTGTCATAGAACATCTGCTACTAACAACCCAAAAAGCCACGGGCACGCAGTCATCACGATTAAAAACACCAAAACTGGAATCTAGTCTATGTACTAACCTAACCTAGAGTAAGCTCTTTTCCACAGGTCAATCAAAAAAATAAAACTAAATAAATAGTGGACATCTCAATAAATACCTCAAAAGCTCAAATGCAAGTAGATGGAAACTGGGTTATTCTATACTACCTTTGACAACCAGTACAGTGAAGATAATGAAAAAGTCCTACGCCATATGTACGTTATACAACAATACAAAGATAAACAAACAGTGGGGAGGAACGGATATTTTAATAGCAGCCGCTGAATTCTACCACATAGATACCTACCTTCAGACACCACTTTCTCAAAACAACTGAACAACTGAAGTAATGTAGGGCAAAACTGCAAAAAATAGAAAATAAAGCGAACGAAAAAGAATGTCAATGTTTTTTAAGGGCTTCGAGAAAATGCACCCATCTAAAACAATGAAATTTACCTATCACTACAGGAGATTCAAACACAACGAGAGACGAAAACAAGAGCAACATTTCATACCAATGTCCAATTGGCAAAAGGAACTAGCCGCATCGGAAGGCCCTCACGTGACAACGATTCCAACTGAAAACCAATCAGAACTTGCGGAACGAGGAAATATTTCAGGGAATAATCATAAATACGGAAAACAGCACCGCGCCAGGAATGGATCAAATAGTAACCGAATTATTACCTTAACTTAACTTGCCGGAGCTAAAGAGACATATCATCACACATATGAATTTGGCCAAACATTGTGCCACCAAGTTGGATCCGAACAGTACTAGGGTAGTAATAGGGACTTCCCTATTCCCAAAATTCACACCCCCAAAAACATCAACGATTACAGAAGAATATCTATTTACAACACGGGCTATATAATATATGCAAACTTCCTATTGCAAAGACTAGATGCGACTATAGCGCAACTAGGAAATTACCAAGCAGCATTCCTGTAAAATAGATCAACAGACGACAACATTTTTGCACTCAGGCGAATACTTGATGAGTCTTGGAAGCAAGGCAAATGTATATAAATACTTGCATTGGACATTGAAAAAGCTTTTGACTCTGTAAACCTAAACGCACTCCGGGATATACTTCTTACTAGAAGGATTAAAACCTTAATAAACAGGATCATGAAGGCCTACGTAAATGAAATAACGAGTATTGAATGGTTTGGACAACAGACAAATTGGATAACGAAAGGAAAAGGAGTAAAACAGTGGTGCCCACTCTCGCCACTCTTGTTCACTCTGATAATGAGAACCCTCGAGGAAGAAATAGAGTTCTTCCAACTTGACCAAGATAAGAAAATCTCCTTACCGGTGGTACTATCATTCGCAGACAACATGCTCATGATATCCAACTCACTAAGCAAACTAGACATCATTGAGCAAACTAGACATCATTGACAGAACCCGCCACCTTTTCTGAACAATAGGACTCGAAATAAAGACCAAAATAACAAAAGTTCTCCTACGCAACCCAACTCAAGCCGGAAAACAAAGAACGCCCGATTCTTAGGTAGAACTAACATACCAGTAACAAAAGAAATTAACTACTTAGGCACGTACATAAACTCTACTCACAGTCGCAAAACTACAGTACACACAAGATGTAAAAAGCTATCAAGGACGCAAAAATAATAACCCATTTCGGAATGCTATCAAAAATGGAATGTTAAACAGCTCGCTTAATGTACAAGATGGTGATTGAACCTACAATGACTTAAGGCCTTAAACAGCTGCGCTAACCAAAGGCAATAGAACGAAGCTGAGAAGGTACGAAAGTACTTAGAAGCGTAAGTATTAACTGCGCAGAATCTCAACCAAATGGAAGAAAAATACGCGATGTATTGAAGGGAAAGTCAGCAAACGAATAAAATATCTGAGGCTTTGCTATTTCGGCCACGTCCACAGAAGAAAACACCCACACATTTTACATGCAGCGCAAACACTAAGGGCACCACAACTCGAAATAGGAAGACCCATATTTACCTGAAACGACTCCATAAAACATAACATGGAATACTATCAATGTAACGAAGACGACTGGACACACTAACTAAAAATAAGGATAAATTTAGGTAAGAAGTTAAAGAAATACATAACATTCCGGAAACCGACACTGAAAGATACAACTCGAGCTCTATGAGAACACATCCTCACCCAGGAGAATCCACTAAGGCAACACGAAGCCCAACATCATCAAAGCTCATTCCTAACAACACTACCTAACCACCTACCCAAAAACTAACTAACCCTACTACCTACTTTACGTCACGCGCTGCATAGCCGGCAGGAATCTGGTTACCGGTTGCGGCTGATAGGTCTTCCCCTCCACAATCCCGGGCGTGTCACTCCCTGAAACTGTGCTCCCTGGTATATCCGGCTTGTCCGGGTCATATTTACTCTGGCTGGGTGTGGTGCCAATGAGCAATTTAGTGATTTTAACAACTCTATGTCGCTACTTGTAGCTATATCACATAATATACACGTATCTATATATTTGTGGAACACCTTTTCCGACCATTGCATATCAATTTTTATAAATTTTACAAAATCAGAGTTGGTTTACAAAATCGACTAATTTACCTAGCACTAAATAAACGTATGCGGTTAATTAATTCACTGAAAATCGATCAAGCTTATGGTCGCCTCACATAATTACATTAAAACGTCCAATGCAGTATAAACTTTATCCTCTACAAGATAAGGCATTGAACAAACAATGAAGAAGAAGAAGCAGCAAGCGCCCGAGCTGCGCCGGGCTCGCTTTATAAGATGCAATGTGCAGAACTGTCTCCGTGACAGAACGGTTCCGGGTTCGATTCCCGGGCCGGGAGAAGTATTTGTATGGCCTATATTTATTTCTCTCGGGAGTTTGGTGTAAGTTGTGGTTGTTTAAGTGTGTGGCCATGGCACCTCCGATACAGGGTTCCCTAGTGCGGGACTACGAGTGTGTGCGTTATTATTATAATATTCTCTGTTCAATAAAGTGTACGTTTCTTTTAACAAAATAGTAAAGCCGCACTGCGCGCCCTGTCTTCGGCGGCGTAACTTAGCTTTTTAACAATAAGGTTTAAGTATTTCTTTGAAAGGCAGATACTGGCTGAACGACGCTGCGTTGGGTTGCGTAGCGCGAACTTTGGAAATAGCAATGCAATATAGAACTTCATGTCTACTAAATAAGGGAGTCACCAAACTTGTTGAAGCTTAATCGTCTTGATGCGATCGTGTTTAGCCACACTTGTCGCGCTATTTGTTTCTAAACCAGGATCAGGCGTTGTCGGTACTAACGCGGTCGGAAATTCGCAGGAAGCAGATTCGTTGCCTACCTGTGTTGAGCAGCGAACCCTTAAGCTCAAAACATACTACGACTATGCTGCAGCAGAGCGGCGCGGTACGTGTAAACTGAAATATTATTGCCACGGCGCGACGCGATATTTTGCTACAAGTTTTTTTTTTTCATTTGCTCTATTACCATCAACGACGACTGATCATCGTATCTACTTGGCGACGAGGGAAACCTATCCTGTAGATAAAATGAAAACTCACTGAGCAGGGTTCAACCAATTCGTAAGTTATCTCCAATTATATTTATGTTATTTTTCTGTTTATTTCATATAATGTTCATTTTCCAAATAACATTTTAGGATAGCAACAGAATTATCAATTATTCTTAATTGGACTTCATAGTGTCCTGCTGCACCAACTGCCACTCAACGTAACTTAATTTAAATTAATTCATCTGTCGCGCGGCCCGACGAAGATAAATAAAAAAAAACACAGTCGAATTGAGAACCTCCTCCTTTTTTTGAAGTCGGTTAAAAACCAGCCTTATACAACATTGGAAATAATATTGGATGTATTGCGCCCACCACAACACATTAAATATAATTGGTCTTTTATTCCGTGGCTCCCACCAAGATGCGCCGCTCTATTGCAGTGTAAAGTCGTAATGCGTTTTAACTTGAGTTATACGTTTTAACTTGAGTAAATTACTAACCTACGGTTAATTCGCCTCGATGTTCGAACAAGACAGCACACAATTCATAATTCCTTAGGTCGACAACCGGTGCAAGAAAGTGAGCACATTTTTCCAAAGTATTGAGCCGAACATTGTAATTTCCCAAACGCTCAATCTCATCTAAACAATTTCGTACGTTTTCATTAGCTGTTGCTGTAGCAGTAGCTTCCTCATCGGGTAGGTGATCCATTATGTAACGCAATTACAAGTAGTTACACTGTGGTATCTACGTGGGTATCAATTAACCAGACACGTCGACCGTGCACTTTTAACTCATCTGGGCCTGCCGGCCCTTTCAAGACGGGCGAGCTAATCCAGCTTAATAATTATTGTATAACAAGGAATTTAACAGGCACGTCATATACATTTATTCTTTGTTATCGATATAAGCAAGTTCTTAGGTTTCCGCGATTGTTACACATACGAAATGAAACTATTTTTCCGGATTTAAATCGCGTATATTTGTTTTTTCAAACAAAAGAATTTGTGTACGAAAAAACAAATATACGCGATTTAAATCCGGAAAAATAGTTCCATTTCCTACAATATAATCAAAATAAATAGTAATTTTATCCGAATAATTTTTGCAATTCTATAGCTATAGGATGCAGTTACCCGCCCGCCTCGTTTACGCGCGCACGTGTTGCGCGCGTTCGAGCGCGTCAGGCGATAATGAGTGTGTAGGTCAGTTGCATCCGATCGTATGGAAAAGAAATAAAACCTTTCGGGGGTTTAGGGCCACAATGAGAAATAACCACAATTAAAAAGAACCCTTCTCGAATTTACCATTTCTTGAATTGACCACTTCTTGAAATTACCATTTTATTTTTCAATTATAATTATTTTTTTTAATTTTTAGACCATTTCGCCAACTTTACCGCCTTAGCACCATGCCCAGACATTTATCTAAACTAATAATGAAAACGCAATGTTTAAAATATTTTATTTGCCTGTTTTTGTCAAATGGCTGCGAAATCCAGTTGCGATGGACGGAGGGACGTTACCCTCCGGGGCGATAATAAGCAATATCTAATGTATATACATAACTTAACGGTCCATCGTCAAACTTGTGGTAATGTTTCTAATCCGAAGCCGAAACATATTGAATTGTAAAAGTGGTCAATGCAAGAAGAAGCCATTTCAAGAAGTGTTCTTTTGTAGAAGTAGCATTTAAATAAATGGTAATTTCAAGAAGTCGTCATTTGCAGAAGTGGTTATTTGGAGATGTTGTCATTTCTCATTGTGGTCAAAATTATACAAATGTACTACATCTTAGAATAATAACGCACTACATTTCATTTTACCGCGCTTCAAAATTTTACAAATCATACCATAGTTATATGCAGCGTGCCGTTCCCAAACGGCGATGCTTGCTGATTCATCGTTAATCGCGAAATTAGCCGGGTCTGAAAACAGAGGTTCCGAGATCAACCGAATCTAGTTCTGCTCAACGAAGAATTGGTATTAGGACGTGATTACTAGTTTTTATTTATTTATTTATTTTAGTTAAATCTTAAAAGATCGGACTTTTTAGATGCTTTGCTTGATACCTCGATCGATCCGCGTGCTTTATTGTGGACGTCACCAAAACTGACCGGACAAGTCGTGATTTAGTCTGATCTAGCTGCAAAGCAGTGTGTGTTCTACAAACCCCTTTTTTCTGACATGGGTTTTTTCTTCCAAAAACCTATAGATGTAATGATTTAAAACCTTTTTAAAATTAGAAAACGCATGCGTCTTTTAATTTGGTCGAGTATTAATTATTTCACGGTAATTGTTTCGAACGGATGTTGGACGGATAACGGGAATAGACGCCCTGATAGTAATCGGCTAAAAGGTAAAAGGCTAAAGGCTAAAGGCCGTTCCATTTTTTTTTTCGGTTTGGGCCATAGTCCGCCACGCCGGCCCAATGCGGGTTGGGTATTTAAAATAGCCAAATCTGTGCCGACTCTGAAGCATTTTAAACCCGTCCAACATTGTTAATATTTATTTTATTTCATCTCCTTAATAAAAGCTGGCGGTCTCTCCAGGAAGATGAAAAGACCGGGCTGTGGCGTTATTCGTAGCTTCAAATATCATTCACTGACCAGCATAGAGGTTGGCGCCCTTTCACCTCCCTAACATTAAGTCCTCTGGGCGTGGTCTAGAAGATCATCCCTTAGCAGAGCGGTTCAGTTTTGGCTGCGCCTCAATGCGATAACGATAACACATCTACATGGGGTGTTAACAAAAGCTGACGAAATTAGTCTGGGCCTCCTTCCATGCCGTACACGTGTTATCAGAATTAAATTGGTCTTAATTTAATTTATATTACAAGATGCAGAAACATATTTTTACTGTCTGAACGTGACAACCCTAATGACGAAAAATCCGCACGTAAATAAAACTGGCTATAACTTCTATACTCCATGAGCTTTGTATTCGATTTTTTGTGAAGTATTGAATAATATGAGACGTCACCAATTATGTAAATATCTCTTTTCAATACGGCGGATTTTTGGAGAAAAATAATTAAAACGAAAATTTTAAAATAATGTAATAAAGTTACGAGTTTGGTAAATTAGGTACAACTTAAGAAGTACTCTCGAACTATGTATGTATGTCATTTTTCGTAGTGGTTTTAATTTTAGTAGGTATTGGATTTTTATCATTCGGACAAAATTTGTGCATATTTTCTAAAATTATTTTGTCCATGACTATACACTCGTCACTCGTGAGTCCTACTCTAAACTTTTTAAATCATTACATCTGTAGGACTTTTGAAATAAAAAAGACCTCTCAACACACTGAGCCCAGCCGGACCTTACCATGAACTCTTATTGCGATTCAACTTTGAACTCTTATTGCGATTCAACTTTGAACTCTTATTGCAATTCAACTTTGAACCTAAACAAGTCCATTTCGCTTATTCGTACCATGACGTCCTAAATACAATCATGTTAACAGCATTTAGGCCAACGCCAAACCAAACCCTAAATTGAGCCGCAACTCCTTTGAAATCTATAACATTCATTCATTTTTCGTACCATGCCGTGCTATTTGACATTATTTGATCTAATGTTGGTTCGCTGTAATGTCATAAAATTCGGATCAAAGAAAGTTACTCATTGCATTGCCGACTTAAATTGAGACGTTTTGCTATTTCAATTGGACGATTTTATTAAAAAGTACCTAGATTATCCAAGGAATTGATATTAACGACCAACAAGAGACATTAGTGGCTATTCAATAGCACAGCAAACTCACATTCTTTATTCCTGCAAACAGTGTCTGCAAGAATAATTGAAATCACAGCATGTTTCAGTCATACAGAAATAGGAAAAAAAATGTTTTCCAAACAACCTTGAGGAAAGAAATAAGATCTAGGTAAGTATTTTTTATATTTAACCTCTTTGTAAATACTTATGACCTCATGTTGTGTTATCCAAAATATTACCCATATTTTGTAATATGTAATGTGTTTTTTTTTTTAGGTTTTATCAGAAATTCAAGATCTCCGCCTTATTGGGTAGCATTGATGGCACCCACATAACTGTTGGGCCCACTGACAATGAAGAAAGATTTTTTTTATCACTCTATATTATATCCAGCTAGTAAGATTATTTGATAAAAATAACCGAAAGACCGAACTTGTATTTCATATATACTTAATTTCAGATGTGATGCTGATATTTATATCACTGGTATAGATGCAAGCTATGGTGGAGCCACACATAGAATTTACATCCAATTTAAATTCATCTGGAAAATCTAAACAAGTGTATGTGGCTTATTGGTACATTGTTGCATGACAAATTTATAAAGGTTTTAGTTGAAGGAAAGGGAAGGTCGATATAGCATACACCATCATCATGATATGCGAATAAATAAAGAAATGTTTGAGTGTGGAGAGCTACACTGTGGTCATCTATGGATTGTGAGAATAGATATACTTTGTAAGGAAAGAACTAAGCTGCCTGCATAGTAACAGTGGGGCATTCTATGTCTAGGTATGCATGAAACAAAACAAATACAATAATACAAAATAAAATATTTCAAATATTTATTGCACCCTACCTATACCTACATATTAGGGGTTAAAGTATGAAATTGCCGTTTTATTGCAATAGGTTCTTTGAATTTTCATAGAATCTTCATGGTTTGAGGTTTTCGAATGAAACTTTTTTCAAATGGTTTCTGTGATTTTTTTTTTTAAATTTGAAACATTTGAATATCGACTTTCAATTGTTTTTGTTATTCAATTTAGACAAGAAAGATGGATATTGCGAATATTCGAGTGATTTTTGAATACGAGTTCCGACGCGGAACTAACGCGGCAGAAACAGCCCGCAATATCAATGCTGCGTTTGGAGAGGGGTCTACTAATGAACGCACCGTGCGATTTTGGTTTAAACGCTTTCGTGATGGAAATTTCGACATAAAGAACGAGGCACGAGGAAGACCGCCCACACAGGTGAATAACGATGAATTAAGAGAGATAGTGGAAGCCGATCCTAGTCAAACTACCCAGGAATTAGCGGCATGGTTTAACGTTACCTTACCCACAATATTGACTCACTTGCGTCAAATCAATAAAATAAAAAAATACGAAAAATGGGTGCCTCATGATTTGACTGATCTGCAGAAAGAAACGCGTGTTGAAACTTGTGTTGCCTTGTTGAACCGGTACAGAAATGAAGGAATATTGGATCGAATTGTAACATGTGATGAAAAGTGGATTCTTTATGATAACCGGAAAAGAAAAATGCAATGGCTGACCCCAGGTCAAATGCCACAACAGTGTCCTAAAGCAAAACTTACCAATAAAAAGGTAATGGTAACTGTTTGGTGCTCTCAGCATGGTGTTATTCACTATAGTTTTCTCCGATCTGGTCAAGCAATAACGGCAGATGTCTATTGTGCCGAACTCCGAACCATGTTGACAAAACTAGCAGTAAAACAGCCCCGACTCATGAATCGATCTTCACCATTATTGCTCCACGACAACGCGAGACCTCACACAGCACGAGAAACCATTTTGACCCTTCAGGAACTGCAGTTAGAAACCATTCGTCATCCTCCGTATTCACCAGACCTTGCTCCAACGGACTACCATTTTTTTCGTGATTTGGACAATTATCTACGTGACAAGAAGTTTTCTTCCCAGGAGGCAGTACAAAATGCTTTCACACAGTTTGTGCAGTCTAGATCGTCGGAGTTCAATCGCAAAGGCATTAATAACCTTCCCATTAGATGGCAGCAATGTATAGATAATAATGGCAACTATTTTGATTAAATAAATTTGTTAAAAATTTAAAAAATAAACAATTTAGATTTTCAGTACAAATCGGCAATTTCATACTTTAACCCCTATTATTATATTTATCATATTATCACAAATCAATCATATTAAATTAATCTCAACGCAGATTAGAAATAACTTGTACTTGGTCTCTTACATGCATCTGTATTTATTTCTCATTATCTAAACTTGTTTCATAACATGACTCATAAGCACTTATATTATTTTAAATACACTACATTATTTTACAGCCAATTTCATTAGGTACGTAGATCACAAAGATCCTTTTTCGTTCCAAACTGATACAGACTTTTATGCCGCTGGTATGGGTTGCTACTTGTTGATAAAACACATATCACAGCACTTCGCTGGACTGGTCGCATTCCAAATATTTTTATGACTTAACTCAAATTCATGACCAATTATAACAACTGATCTGAAACAATAAAAAAAACTATATTAATAACAGTACAACTATGTATTAGTGATTTATATTTATAAGTTGTTTGCATAATTGTTTCATGCGATTCTGGTTATGAACGGGCACATTGATGATTGATGAGACCATTATTTCGTGCTGAGAAAACATAGAACAAAATCATTTTATACATATAAATACTAGACAAATTTTAGGTTGGTAAACACCATAGTTTACTTCATAAAATTACATGGAAATGATATTCTTAATGGATTCTTCATGACTTCTTTTTTGTGTTTTAGTATTTTTGGAAGCTCCAGAAGGAGAAGAGAATATATATAATGAAGATGCATATCAACAATCTCTCAATCTCAACTTGAAACCACTCCGAATGCAAGAATTTGCTATTGAAAAAAGAAATAATTTAATAAATATATATTTTAATTAGAGATGTTCATTATTTCAGTAAACACCTATGAAAACCCTAATAAATCACCCTATCTATGAGTAATTACAAACATCTTCAGTTTGTTTGCAATTGCTCATAGTATCAGTATAAATAACCATAGTCTGCACAGTTCAAAGCTCACTTTCCTATCCCATATTTCCGCCTTTCTGCTCTTAAAGAAGTCCCTGTACAGTACGATTCACGAAAGATGACCACAAATGGCGGCCGTCTGCGCACGTACACTCATGAAGAAAAGACTTATGACAATATAATATTTTAATTTTGGTTTAATAATTTGTGTAATGTTGTAAACGCTGGTTATGCAAATAAATCAAACGTAAGTAATTTTAAATGTTTATTATAATAAATTGAACCAAAAATATAAAAATTTGTAAAACACATTTAGTCGCTATCGCTATTCTCAAGTTCCATGATTCCCTCTATCATGGAACTTGAGGGAATCGTGGAACTTGAGGAACTGGGGCCGGGTTCCATATTAAAGTCTTCATCTTCCGATGATTCGGGAAAATCCACATCTGTCGAATCTTCGCTCTCGTCAGATTCTCCCACACGTATAATTAATTCCTCCGTAAGAACATCCACGATGTGGTCACTTTTTATATAGCTTTCTTCTATAGATTTTACTTTGTCACATAGTTTTTTCCATTCCTCTGGTCCCATCAGATTCACTTTTTCTTTAATTAAATCTATAACGCAGCTAATATTCCACTTTACGTTTTTACTACTCACGTAACCCTTTATAGAGGCCCAAGCCATTTCTATGGGATTTAAATCCGGGTGGTACGGTGGAAGACGGAGAACATCGTGACCATTTTCCATCAAAATTTTGTCAACGGAGTATTTCTTTAAACGAGGTTTGTTATTTTTTATTATATCGTACAATTGAGGTTTCAACATATTGGAATCAAAGCTGATTCCATTTTTGGTAAGCCACTCTTGCATGTCGGATTTTCGAGAATTAGATGTGGGAGCCATATCATATTCTTTATTGTGGTATGGGGCGTTGTCTACCACAACAACGGAGTTCGGTGGGAGATTGGGTACCAATAGAGTTCGAATCCATTTCTGGTAATTTTCAAAATTCATGTCGTCATGATAATCTCCTGATTTTGTGCCCGACTTGAAAGTTAATAATGCATTTGGCACAAATCCAGCCTCTGAACAGGCATGAACGATAACGACACGTTGGCCTTTTGAGATAGGCTTTTTCAGACCTGCTGTAGAACCGTCAGCCCAGCCCATGGGTTTTGCATGTGTAGCATGGACGTACGATTCGTCAGTATAAATGATTGGTCTATTTTGTCTTCGATATTCTTGGAGTTTTTTTAGGTAATTGATTCGTAACAACCGAATAGCTGATGTTTCTATTAAAATATTTCGGTTATTTTCTGTTTTTTTCCACTTAAATCCAATTCTTTTTATTAATCGACCCAAACTTGTTTTGGATCCTTTAAAGTTAATATCTTGATGTAATTTTGCTCGTAACTTTTCTAAAGTTGGCAATTCTTTTTCAATTAAATGAAAGTTATGAATACATCTCTTAATTACCCCTTTGTCAAAGGCGTCAACGTCGGAGGCAGGGTTACGGCGCGGTCTCTTTTTACCAGGGGTTCTAAAAACCACTAAGAACGGTGAAAATTTACTTTCTTTTATAATTCTTTGTACTGTCGATACAGACGTCTTTGTTGCCGCGGCCGTTTTTTTGTAAGCTTCGAGTATTTTAAAATCTTGTGAAAAATATTGAAACACGTTGTACACCAAACTTCTCGACTGTCTATTCAAAGTATTGCCTTTTCCTCGCGGCATTGTAAAATAGCAAATAAGTTCAACACAATAACAAATCTCAACAAAAAACGAAAACAACAAATAAAAAACAATTTAAAACAAAGAAACACTTCTTTTCGACTGTACTCGAGAGCAGTGTGAGCGCGTCGACGCCGCGATAGACGAATAGCGACTGAGCAGTCTATCACGAGACGCGCGCGCACCAATGGCGTCGCTCCGATCTTGACGCATTCCGCCCGCGCCTCACCTCGCACCTCCAAAGAGACCTAAAATATGCCTTCTGCGCCGTGGTCATCTTTCGTGAATCCAAGTGTAAGTCTCGAATCAAAATAATGTATACTACAAGAACTAGGTTTCTTTCGGGTCTACTTTTAAAATCCTGAAACAGGTACTTACATGCTTCCGTTATTTTAGTTTTTAGGGCCATGGTTTTCTAATTTGAGGGCAACCTATTGTTAGGTCCTGTGAGTCTGCCGCCATATAATTCACTAAAACTCTTAATTGAACAGTTGTACTCTGAAAAAAAAACACTGAAAATATGAATAAGTTATGTACTTATACGTAAATGTGATACGATAACAAATCCAAGATCCATTCAGTGTAAACAATAACCTAAAAGTGTATATTGATACTTACCTACGTTGTTCTTTTAGTTTTAGGCAAACTTCACCACAGAGGACATTAATAAACTTCATTGATCTTCTAGCACAAGCTAATAAGAGATGTCTTCCAGTTTGAAAAATAGCAGTTTATCAGTTTTGTTTATCTTTTGATTCACTTTTTTTATTTATTTTCCTTAGTAATGACTACAATAAGTTTGCTTTTTATGTTTTACAGAAGTACCTATATAGCTATTTAAAAAACATGGCTTTGGCTAAAAATACACGTATCTAAAGAAAGAACATTACATTTAAAAATTTCACAATACAAAATAGTAGCGGACCAGAGACAGATATCAGTCATTCATTCGTGCGTTAGCGGTTCGAAAGCGAATCAGTTAAAAATGGCTCATGGTACGAATTTTCACGATTCAGGGGTCTACTCTCGGTATCCGTCTGACATCCGTCTAAAAGAATTATTGTCAAATAAGTAAGTAATATTCGACAAAATTAAAAGACAAGTATCAAGTATGAAGCTTCATTCGCATCACGCGTCTTTTCATTTGGTCAAGTATTGCTTATTTGGCGTAATTGTTTCGGACGGGTGTCGGACGGAAATCGAGAGTAGACCCCCAGTTTAGGATCCTAAATTTAACTACTTCGTTATTGATTCGTTTTAGTAAAGTTCATGGTACGGACCGTTTGCGCTCAAAAAAAGTAGCGATTCAGTATTTCGTAGGCGCAACTACTAAGATTCAATCGTTACTCCGTTTAAATGCTAGTTGCGGAGTTTGTCTGTCCACCCTGGGACTTTAATACCAACTGCCATTGACTTACAAATAAATGGACGACGGGTCTAATACAAAAACCACGAAAAAAATGTCCCAAGTCAACCTATTCGAAATTTAAATTGTAATGTCATCGCAGTATCGCGCTGTCAGTGGAACAAATGAAGACTAAAGCGGAGTTTGGCGCTCTGTATACGATTTTAGCGCCTTACAAGTGCGGACACTTATTAGCGCGGACCCGACGTCCATATAATTGTAAGTCAATGCCAACTGCACCATTTTAGCATTTAAAATTAGAAATCGCTAATTAGTTTGTTCTAAGTTAACGCGCAGCGTATGAAAGCTGCACACTCCACGCATATACGGCGACTCAGAGTGAACAGCGCGCGCTACCTTCATTCACCTTAGCACTTGCCATAGACACCGCGCGCATTTACGTTGTAAATTTATTTTCGGATTAAAACGCATATTTTAACCAATTCGAGCTTCTAAATTACTTCTCAACCTTCACTGTTCCTCATACAAGCGCTCCTGTTCCTCATGTTGGCCCTACGACCTGTATTAAATAACTGCAAAGAACCTGCCAAGAACAAAGGAAACGCGCAAGTTAAAGAAACCGTTATGTAGATTGTTCGAGAAGAGGAGCTCGCAATCAACTTACTTACATCTCATCATATTATTGGAAGGAAGAATCACGCCTATTTCGACGGGAATCTACGTTAAAACCTGAGGGAGTCGCGTTATCGTGAGTCCGTTCCAATTACCTCAGTGTTCGTTAGTGTCCGTAAAACAAGTGCCTATTTAAAAATCTTAATTCATTTCGCACTTTAAACGCGAATGTTATTATTAGTACTATATGTATGTACCTACATATATTTCCTAAATTTTTTTCGCACAATAAAGGTAACAATTCAATTAATAAGGCAAAATAATCAATTACATTCATTATTTTAGTTGTTTTTTTTACTTTAGAAATACCTACAACCTTCAATATTGCAAACCAAATATTTTATCGTTAATTCCTCATGGAAAATTTATTACTTTTACGTCTTGCTTGCTCTTGATTAAGCTGTACAAGTGACCTATTTGTTAGTGCTATAACATCAACTTTTTGTGCACATTCCAGCGGATTGCATTGTATGCGAGCGGCCGTGACCTTTGACATCTCCTCTCCCAGCAACCTGCGATCGCTTGCTTCCTTGTCTACGCACCCGGTTTGCATTAATGCACTCTCATTGCACCTCATTATTGAATTTAAGTACTCATTGCACATTATTATTGTAACAAAAGGTGATCCTATAACGGTTTAATCATAATAATCATATTTATTTACAGCCTAATCGTATAATTTCCGTGAGTAATTTACTTTGTCTAGTGAAATTTAATTCAGTTTGAAAAACATTTAGAAATTTTTAATAGTTATGCTAATTCGATTATCAAAAATTGAAGAATGGTATTCGGAGTACCTATTATAGCCTCCAAACTAAAATAGAACATACTGCTGAAATTCCAGATTATCAGTACCTGGACCGAGAGGCGTTTGAGTCCAAGTATTTTGGTGGCACACGGCAATGGCACACGCTCGGGAAATGCTGGCGCGGAACAAGTACCCTGAACGTGCTAACTCGGGCTCCAGTTCCAGGTCAGTCTCGGCCTCTGGTGTGCACCAAGGTAGGACAAACTTTAAGCTTCCTACTATACGCTTACCTACTTTTTCGGGTCACTATCAAAACTGGCTAGAATTTCACGACACATTCAACTCACTTATTCATTCAAACGAGTCCGTACCTAAAATAAACAAGTTTCATTACTTACGCGCAGCTTGGAAAGATAGTGCCGCTTTGATCGTGCGATCGCTTGATTTTTCAGCTGAAAATTATACCGTTGCTTGGGATCTACTCTGTGATAGGTTTAATAATAAAAGGCTCTTTGTCAATAATCATGTACAAGCTATTTTCAACATCGAAATCTTATCTAAAGAATCTTCAAAGGCGTTGCGCGACATAATCGACAATGTCAATAGAAACTTACGCGCTCTAAAAACACTTACCTTACCCACTGAACACTGGGATATTCTCATCATATATATAATTTCAAACAAATTAGATTCAACAACTACTCGTGAATGGGAACCATACCGTACCACACTAAAGGAGTTACCCACACTCGAAATATTTTAAAATTTCATAAAAAATCGTTCAGATTTCTTAGAGAGTGGAGGAAATACACACTAAGCGCAGGCATAGTGACGTCACGCATAATCGGTACAAGGCTTTAATTGTCAGCTCACAATCTTTTTTCTCCTCTCATCCTGCAACTAAGCAGTATAATTGTCCATTGTGTAAAAATAATCATGCTATATATCTTTGTGTGAAGTTTAGAGCTTACCCATTAGATATCAGAATGCAAAAGGCTAAATCATTAAAATTATGCCTTAATTGCTAGCGTCAGGGACATGGTGCAATTGCATGCAGAATTCAACCATGTCGATTGTGCAATAAATCGCTAAATAGCTTACTTCATTCTCAAGACTCATCTGTTGACGCAGCTCCATCTACGTCGCACAACAACGTTGCCCTCTGCGCCGCGTCGCCCCCGCCCCTGGAGACGTCGTCTCAGTCACAGCCCGATGTGTACATCGGGCTGCTTCCACTAATATTTCTCAGCATAGTGTTGTTTTGCCAGCTGTTCATATGGACTGCGTGCTTCTGTCTACAGCATTAATACAAATAAAAGACCATAAAAATCAAAGGCACACAGTACGCGCGCTATTAGATAGTGAAACACATCAAGCTTTATTACAGAAAATTTACAAACAAAACTTAACGTACCTACCATTTCGACCTCGTCATTAATCGAAGGGTTGAATGCCCAGACGTCTCGCTTAAACAAGCAATGCAGTGTCACTTTAATATTATCACTCATAAATACCTACGAAATTAACACAGATTGCTTTGTCGTTCCACGTTCCACATTACGCAACCGTTACCTATAGTACCTACACATTAATTCTGCATCACTTAAAATTCCACCTAACATAACACTCGTAGATCCTACATTCAACATACCTTCTGAAATAGATATGCTTCTCGGAGCAGACATTTCTGGAGCGTGTTAGGTTCTCACAATATTTCACTAGGTAAAAACATGCCTACGTTAAGTAAAACTCAATTTAGCTGGTTAATATCCGGTCTTATTCAAACAAGTAATTACACAACTACAGTCCACTGCAACCACGCTATCATTACACAAGATGATGAACTTAATGAGCAAGTGACACTGTTTTTTGAACACTAAAACATTCCTGAACGGAAATAACCTAACTTCCGGTTAAAAAAGTCATTCATCCCCTAGTTTGCCACCTATAGAGGTGGAATATTTTCTTGAAATTTAAATGGGACCACATCTGAGGTACCTTCTTTCCAACAAAAAAGAATCATCAAAATTGGTTCACAAACGGCGGAGTTTTGGCGTAACATACATATAAAAAAAACATACAGACGAATTGAGAACCTCCTCCTTTTTTGAAGTCGGTTAGCAAATATCATTCGAAGAGCAACAATGCGAACAAAATTTTATAGATAATACATTTCGTGATTCTGACGGAAGGTTCATTGTTACTATTCCATTGAAAGAGTCTCCCTCTAAATTGAGTGATTCATACGAGCTAGCTTTGACTAAATTTGTGTCATTAGAGCGTAGATTTAGCAAAGACCCATTATTTAAAAATACTGTAAATTCATTTAGGAATACATTGAATACAAAACCCGATGATGATACATACAAGTCTAAACTACCCCATCACGGTGTAGTCCGTGAAACAAGCTTGTCGACAAGACTGAGGGTTGTGTTCGACGCTTCAGCCGTCACGACGACAGGCTTGTCTTACAACAATATCTAACTGGTCGATCCAACCGTGCAGGACGATCTCATTAGCATTCTAATTAGACTACGACAGCATATCTTCGTAGCCACAGAGAACGTTGAAAAAATGTATCGCATAATATAAATGTCAAACAAGATAGAGAGAGAGAACAACATCAATTGCAACAAATATTATAGCGTTTTGAACCTTTTGAAAGCATTAAGCTCTATAAACTTAAAACAGTTACGTACGGTACTGCATCCGCGTCTTACCTTGCTACTAGGTGCCTAAAACAACAAACAGTTTCACAAGTTATTCAACACAATTTCTACGCCGATGATCTCATAACCGGGGCATCGTCTGAAATAAAAAATGGGTAAACATTTGCCGAGGCGTTATACAGCAACTTAAAAAGGGCCTGTTTCATTTACGAAAATGGCTCTCGAATCACCCACACTTACTTAACAATATTATAAACGGAAGAAAGTAGTGACGGACTACTTGACGTGCCTTTAATCGGCTGTGCCCGCTGCCAGTGGAAGACCAGAACTGCGTTCCTGGGGACCCAGCATGTTAACGCGCAGCGTATATATGCTGCACTCGCGACCTTCATTCACCTTAGCACTTGCCATAGACACCGCACGCATTTACGTTGTAATTTTATTTTCGGATTAAAACGCATATTTTAACCAATTCGGGCTTCTACATTACTTCTTAACCTTCACCGTTCCTCATACAAGCGCTCCTGTTCTTCGTAATTAGATTTAGTTGCGTTTGTATTTGAGAGATAAAGATCCAGCTAATTTCATTAATATGTACAGTTACGCAGAAAAATCATTATAAAAACTATCGTTCAATTCGTTATATAATATATAAATAATATTAATAATTATATAATATCGTTCAAGGACTTTTGTCGAAAACTCTAAAACGAAGGCCGTATCTACAAGCTAAGCTAACTCACGTAACTGCACCACCTTTTCATACTTCTGTTCACCTGTCTCACGTAACTGCACCATCTTTTCATACTTCTGTTCACCTGTCTGATCTATGTGGTTAACTACACTGCGATCCCGCTAAGAAAACTCTCGTGTCGTCCATCAGTCTCACAGTCTTACAGCTACTGCATTGAACGAAAGCAGAGAACAAAAAATAACAAGAACGGACACTCCGCCCCTCCCTAGTTTTAGATACCGCACCACGTCCCGCACATTGACGGTCACATTGACTGAACGACAACTAGGCCGTCGGCGAGCCGTTTTCGCGCTAAAACGGCTTTGATATTTGAATATAGTTTACATTTATTAATTACGACGCCATAACTTCGTGAACTAGTAGACAAGGGTTCTCTCATTTTCAATTTGTATTGCTGATAAGTATTACGAAGTGAATATACCTAACTTTAACTAGTAATGATAAACTTGGACACGCAATTTCAAATACTTTGGTTACCTTATTTAAAGGTACAAAGGTACCTGTACCTCTCCAAAATATAACGTTTTAAGCGCTTTTAATATATTTTTTAAATAAATCCAATATTATTCTAGTCAGTGAATTAATGAAAAATATAATATTATATCGGTATAAATACGTAATGAACATGTGTAATTATTAGAATTCTATTAATAGAATCATAAGTAAGATTCTCGTTACAATTTTCGCTATGTTGCAGCTCTGACCACGTAGTCCGAAAAAGTGATGGGTAACCCTGCCACTTCACACACACATTTGCGCGTGTGCAGATAGCGCCTTGCTGTACGTAGTAGTAGTAGGTAAATAACTTTCGACTGTTGTATGAAGTGTCCGGGGTGTGACGAAAGACTAGCGTCGGCTGGCTAATTGTTCTCGTAGTTGGTTGCACGCAACTACGTAAAGTAAACTGAGCCCAGTTAGTTTAACTCACATGGTTGTTTCGGTTGAGCTAAACTAACTTAGCTAAAGTTCAGCTCGCGGTGTCTGCGTTTAATACATTATATTACATCAAAAATTCAGAAAATAAAACTTACACGTGTATCTGTATGAACCCAGCGCAAATTCGTGTTCAAATAATCCAATATTGCTACTGAAATCATCTCGGTTGAATTGAGGATGTGGTATACTCTTCATAATGTCAGATGCTAAATAAAACAAAACATTTTTGTTATTGTGTGTTACGTGGGCCATACTGGAAGTTCCTGGAGCGGGCCATTTGCGAAAGAAACTAAAAAAACAAACACATTTGAAAAACTAGGTTACTTTTTTTTATTTGTATTTTCATTGTGGCGTTGTTTTGAACAATGTGAGTCGCTATTACAATGAATTGCAGTCGTGAAAATTTTCGGTTCATGATTTTCTACGATTTTCGATGTAACTTAAGTCAACAAGCGTGAGAGTTGCCAGAGACTTCAATTGGCATTTATTGATGACGCCCCATGTCGTAGCTATCTATTCGATGATGTACGTGAAGGACGGCCGGACTCTGCAGTTACCGAATTTAATATTGATACCGTACGACAACTTATTGAAACTGACAAAAAAAATGACTTGTCAGCACGTTCGTACTGTATTAGGCATTGGAATGAGGCAGATGCAAAAGACATTGCATGTGCATCTGAATTTTGAGAAACTTTACATTCGATGGGTATCGCATGATTTACCGGAGTACCAGAAACGACTGCGTGTAGAGTGGTGTCATAAAATGATTTACGACAAGTTTAATGGAGGGCAATCATTGGCTGTAATAATATAATAATACTATCGTGACAGATGACAAAACATAGGTGCTTTGAACCGGAACGCCTCTGCACATTCCGCTAATGTAACGAATGCGTATTTGAAGGCTTCAAATGTGGAGCTAATGACCCATCCGCCATACAGCCCACACCTTGCACCATGCAACTTTTTAAGGGGTCCCTACGGAAGACTGGTCGCACTGCTTTTCACAATGGTTCCAACGAATGCAAAAGTGTGTGAATTGCGTGAGCATATACTTTGAAAAACATAATATCTGGTCTTACTTATCAGAATCCAGTAACTATCAGTATGGCCTAAGTACGTGGCTTTTGTAGCGCGAGACTTGTGATGTGATGCCATTATAATTCCAGACCGTAGAATGTACCTACTTATTTTCTCTATATTAAAAAGAGTAATACTAACTAGCAAATGATGCCGTTTCTTTCTGTCTATATTTAATACGCCACCTTCGATAATAGTACGCCATATCAGGGTCTGACCGCATTGAAGTACAATGCCCGGGAGCCAAAGACCATCTCGCTTTAACCATTAAAGAATTACAGACGACTTTATCTGGTTTCAAGTCTAGGTAAACTATTCCCAGAGGCAGAGTATACACTGTAAAAAACAGCTATTATATCAAAAATATTACACAAGTATCACAATATATTACGTACCTAGTACGTTCTTGAAGAAAAGCACTTACGATCGTCCTGAGCCACTTTTCGACGGCTTATTTGCAATGCACTTTTTCCCGAATGATTTACCACACACAAATGCACGAAGTATATGATTAATAGTATTATGAGTACACAAAATGTAATTACCAAATGCACAAAGATACATTTTTCGCCTCTTGTAAATTTTGATTCCTTTAATGGAGATCTGTGGGTGCGTCTGGTTGAAAAAGACGATTGTAGATCAACGTTCGACATTATTTGTATTTTATGTAACTTATATTATTATGATAGGAATGAATGACAGATACCGTCACAACCTAGATTTACACAAATTAGCTCAATTTTTTAGTTATTGAAACTACTAAATTCGTAAAATAAGAATGTTTAATAATAAATTATTTACTTACATTTAATTTCGAATTAGAAATTTTAATTTAAGTAGACTCACTTGAATAAAAAATGACAATTGGCAACAAATAACATCACGCACATTACAACTGTGCAATCTATATCACCTTCTACATACATAATATATTCAGGTGAATTTTTCAACAAGCTTGGAAAGCTAAATCCGTAACTAGGAGATACAGCGAAAAACGCTCAATCAATCATCAATTTAATGAAAATTAAATTGCAACATTAGATTTTTAAATCCATTTCGATAGCCGGATAACGAACCAGTTGTTTTTGCAAATAAAAATACCCACCCTACATTATTGCACCCGTTTATATCGTGTCTAATAACTAATAAATATAAATCCCGGGGTGTATGTTTTTTTTGCAAAATACACTTACCGGTTCCTTTTTCGGATAGATATATTGCTGCTTGTGAAGAATAGATCGCTGCTTGTGAAGAACACGGGGGCCCCAATCCAAAATAGTACCTTTTATGACTTATTTAATTACTGGTTCAGAAAATGCTAAATTATATCCCGAACTGTTAATTATTGGTTAAAATAATTGACAACGTTGACATGGCTGCCATGTCAATTTGCGCGGCAGACACGTCTTAACCATCATCCTCAGAACTTCTTTGAGAAATTTTCACCATTGTTCGGAGTTTCGGATTTATGGGATTTACCCATCCACGCTTAATAAAAAATTCACCTGTATTACTACAATCCCAGGCGCCCTGATCTGAAACTGATAGCTGTATAATTAAATTTACTAAAGCAGAACTATTGAGGCTGAATGTCCACATTCGCAATGCCACACAAACCGAATCATTGCTTTAAAAAAATTTACTTTTAGACATTGACTGCATTTCATTGTAAGTAGATGTAGTGAGTATGGCGGTTTCCGGCTTAGACTAATCGACAAAGTTATCTAAGAACGTCGAGTACAGCGAGAATTTCTTGATTAGTTTACATTTTGTACTCTAGCACGAAAAAATCACATACATTGTGTTAAAATCCATACAAAGGATTATTAAATCTTTTAAATAAATCTTTTGGTGTACGATTTATGTAAAACACTATTGTTTTCGATTTCCCTTACAAACCAGGGGTTCTACAGACCCGAGGTTCGATCGGGACTAGAACTAAGAATGTATTACAATGATGACAACGCGATTTGACAGTTTCGAACCGGCCCGTCTTTCCGTTGACGGTCTGCGAGAGTAGTTCTATAGGTCATCCGTAGTGGGAAAACGCTTGTAATTACGGATTTCGTGCTTCGAGAGTAGGACCCCAATAACGGCTGTTGTTTTGTGAATTTGTATGAAAAGTAAAGAAAAAAACAGTATTTCCAAAATTCGTAGAAAAAAGGTTGCTAAATTTTAAAATGCCGTGTTACGAGGTGGGGTGCACGAAAGGTGCCTCCTCCCACGATGACGGATCATTCCTTTCTCGTACGTCTGGCGCACCCTGGATGCCCAGCGGTATCGGCGAGTACCTTACGCCGACTGAAAAATTCTTTCACCACGATGACAAGCATTATAAGACGTTACGAGGTCTCAGGTTAATAAAAAAAACCCTGTATGTCGTTAAAACAAACTGTCTAATAAACTGTCTCTGTCTGTCTAATATTATTATGAAATGTGCAACTATTGAACAACAAATATGATGAAATTCAAACCATATGCAAGCAAAAGAAAAAAAACATTCTCATCCTATAGATAATTGTTAAAATACAAAATTATTAGAAATTACAATTCCAAATTATGATAGCAGGGATTGGTAACAAACGCAAATCATGACCGATCCTACCATACTAGTACGTGTTCAGAACATAATTGTTTACTTTTTACAGTTTTATGATATTAAATTATTTCGTAACACAAATGGTATTAAACCGTATAAGCGACTAGATTTTATTTTGTTAAAACAGTAGAAAATCAGGTACTATTGGGAAATATCCTCTTGAAGGCAGGCATATATAATATTCTTTACTATACATTTATATACACAAAATACGGAGATCGTATATAAAGATCGAAAATTACTCTTGATCGATTTTTGTCCAACCCTGCTACCATATTATGGAAAACACATTCAATTACTACCTATATCAGTTTATTTGAGTAAAGATATACAAGATGTAAGTTAAATTTAAAACAACATGAATTAAAAATGTATTAATTTTTACTCTACTCAAATATGTATTCGGAGCCGACTTATTCTACTTACATTATATATACACTAACATGCACAGTACCAATTAGTTACACAATTATAATAATAGTAACACTAACGAGGGAACCACCTTACTATCTACGCGAAAGTACCTGCAGTGAACAATCAGCAGCAATATAAAAGCATAAAGGGTCACTCGTCGTCACAGAATATCTTTATTATTTGCGCACGATGTCGTGCTCGTATGCATCGTTGAAAATGTGTTAAGAGATTAAGGCTGCCTTGCCACTAGACATGTGGGACGTAGCGAGGCGGTGCACTATGGGAAATAGTAGAACAACGGCGTATCAAAAATGGTTTCGACCAATGTCTTAATTGAAATACACATTTAATTTTATTTGATAGTTTAGATGTCGTACTTTATTAAACTGAAGGTTTTTTATTTGGATAGGTATGTTGATTTAATAAAAATACATCCAAAATGTCCTTTCCCGTACTCATCTCGTTGTGCCGTATAATTTTGGAACTTTAGACGTTGTATTTCGTATTGATTTTGTTAGATAAGCTATGTGTTATTATATATTTCTATAAAGCACATCTTACGTAAATGTCAAAAACAGTTGATATTTTTCAAATTTGTTGTGTAATGTAAAGAAAATAAATCATAATTAAAAATGGATACATTAAACTATCTTTATCAAATTCGTTCATCAAAGGCTTTGACTGTTAGCGAAGCTTGCCGAGGCTTCCAATTGTGTATTATTTCATAGTGTAAGTATTCATTACCAAAATTATAGAAAAATCAACTGCGGTTTTATTGCGGTTTCTAAAGACATGAAAAAAATCGTAACAAATGCCGCAGAAAAATACCCTTACCAATGCAACGCGATAAGATAATACGGATGCGGTTGCATTTATCATATTTATCAATGTTATTCACATTGCACCATTACTATATAATGCTCTGACACATTAATTTCATAAATTTATTAAAACAAGCAGTCGTTTGTTACTGAATATACTTTTCCAACTCCTTTGAAAATGAGTACTTTCAAATGTTTGAGACGTCGAGAACTAATACTTTCCTACATTGAAGGTGGAAATGAATCGGCGCTAGAAACATTTTTACGAGATTGTTATGAACTTTCGGATAACAATTTACGTTTGATAATTAGTGATTCAAAAAAAATTGCTAACACATTTAACAGTCTATAGAGACAAGCATCATGAAAGTAAGCCTTTTTGAGGGTTAACAGTGATCGGTTGGATCAAGAGTTTTCAGTTACTTTGTCAACGACAATCGATTCCATTCCATCTACTTCAATGGAAAACGAGGAATACCATGTAGGTCTTATGAAAATTCTACAGAATCTAGTGAGAAACGCAAAAATACTACAACTACTTAATGAATATGTCTATGGTGCATATATTCAAGGGCTGCGATCAAAGGGAGAAAATAATGAAGCAAACATCGTGGAGGCATTGAGGTCTGCAGATGCAGATGAATGAAAAAAATATCATTGCTAAAATTGATGGACGACTCTAATACCATCCTAACGCTGAGCGACCAAGAAGCATTAAGTGTATTTATTGAATTGGATCTGATCAGGGCTCAATATATACATATTGGAAGAATATTATGGATGGACGGAACGGTTTCTCACTACCACCTTATTACAAAGTACAAAATAGTAAACAGAACTGTTACCCACCTGCATCAGCTATTGAAATTACAAACGCGCAAAAATGTTATCCCTACAGGATTTATTAGATCGCACAACGGCGAGGATATTGATGATAGATTCCGTGTACAAAAACGGTTTGAAACAGTTGGTTTTATACAGTAAACGGGGATGTGATTGCTCGTCTGGTCAAAGCGAGTATAAACAAAGACTTCCAGAGGAGTCTGAACTTGTGTTCAAGTTAAACATGAACTTTTTTGACCATGATAGACGGCAAAGTAGCTCAGGTATTAACCGACACTCCTTTAAGTTTAACATGTAATATTTGTGGTGTTACTGCACGTCTAATGAATAATTTACAAAATGTAACTGCTAGGCCAGAAAATGAAAGTTCTTTTCGTTATGGATTATCAACAAACATGCCTGGGTTCGCTGTACGGAGATGATTTTGCATATTTCTTACAACCTTTCTTTTCAAAAATGGTCAGCTACGAGTGATGAAAACACAAATGAAACAAGAGACGAAAACTGTGGTACAAAGACGCTTTCGAGAAGAGCTTGGATTAATAATTGATAAACCACGGCAAGGAGGTGGTAATACCAATGACGGTAACACTGCGAGAAGGTTTTTTTATAATGCAGCCCGTTCAGCTGAAATTATTGGAGTCGATGAAATTTTGATAAAGCGACTCTGCTATGCTTCATTGTCTGGCATAATGATAGATTCCCAAAAATTTGGGGAATATGCTTTGGAAACGGCAAGAATATATGTCAGTAAATATGATTGGTATGATATGCCATCTTCGGTAAACAAAACATTAATTCATGGAGAAGGTATAATTAATCATTTTGCAGTGTTACCTATTGGCCACCTTAAAAAGACACTCAAGAATCTCGTTTGTACGAGACTACAAAAAATTTAGATTACACCACGCAAGAAAGTGCTCTAGTTCTTCACACTACTTCTTCTAGTATTTCACACGTTACTTTGCAATTCTCATCCATTTATAACCAGTAAACGAAAACCTTATGTTAAAAATAGACAGGAGCTTGACGAGGAGACGCTACGTCTATTATATTAGTAATAATAGGCCATGATAGAAGAGCGAGACTAGAATCTAAAACAGATATCCGAAATAATAACAAACACAGTTTCATGTATTTTCTTGTCTCGTATTTTTATTTTTTTATTTTATATAATTTTAAGTAAAATTTATAATTACATTTAATTTATTTTATGAATAAAGAATTACCGTAACATGGCATTTCCATTTTTCTTAAATATATATTGGGTAGTATTTACCAGAAAGAGATTTATGATTTTGCACATTTTTTGCCTCTCAATTACTGGGAGTTAAATAAAAATGTATATGCGTTTAAAAGCGTCGTAATTCCCATTATATATAATAAAAAATTGAAAGATGTATCTCAAAATAAAAAAGTTACAGATGTCTGGTCTGTAAAAATAAATAAATTTCCCATAGTGCGGTGTACGAGGAGAAAATCCACCAATAGGATTGCTTTATTTTCATAGCCTCGTTTAGCGCAGCTCCGGTAGAAAAGGGTTAGCGGAGCTAAGTATTGTAAATAGCTAAGAAATGTACAATTAAATGCGCGCAAGGGATGCGGGCGAGGACTGAGTGCCAAACGGTGTAGGAAGCTAGAGCTACTGAAAGTATGACACTAACTGACATTGACATATCGCCACCGCTGATACCACCACACCGTACCCCGCCCGCGCTGAGCTAGAGTCCGTAACGCATCCTCGCACCGCACCGCTGCACATTCTCTCACCGCCTAGCTACCTCGCACAGCTTTTGTGGAAATGATCACACCGTTTTACAGCGCCGCTACACATCCTTGCACCGCTACTCGCTACCTCGCACATTTATGGTGGAAAGGCAGCCTTAGTCTTAATTGATTTTACAGTGAAATAACTTTGTAAAGATGTATTTTCATTTCATTTTATAATAAAAGACTCTTTGATGGCTTCGACTACTTACAGTTGAGGCTATCGTAAAAGTGGTGTAACCAACATCCAATTTTTGATGCTATTTTTAAGTACAAAAAAAAATAATTTTTTTTATACACGAAAATAGCTTCTAAATATAAAACAATTATGTACCTTACTATTTAAAACAATTATGTTATTTAGTATGTTGGTTTCATCACTTTTGCGCTGATGGCCACAATTGTAACCCAGATTTATTACTACACTTTCAAAGTTATTTCATCAAATAATTCTAAATTAACAACATACATTAATTAGTTACAATATTCTTCCAAGTCATGGCATCTACTACTTACAAATTGTAACCCAAATTAATGACACTTCAAAATTATTTTATAAAATAATTCTAACGTACATTAGATAGTTACAATATTCTTCGAAGTCACAACATAAATATAAAGGAGTTCTTCCTTTAGTGGTACTAAAATAAATGGAAAAGGAGGTCTTCAGTTTTTGCCCAAAAAATGTACCGAGGTACAA